TTTTTTTTTTTTTTTTTTTTTTTTTTTTTTTTTTTTTTTTTTTTTGTGGGTTCAGAGAATCAAACTGAGGTTCTTTCTCATGCTTGGGTGGCAAGCACTTTACTGACTAATTGTTTCTCCAGGCCTCTGGTCGGCCTTATGTGGGTGCTGGAATTGAACTCAGGACATCTGCAAGAATAGCCAGTGTTCTTAGCCTCTGAGCCGTCTTCTTACTCTCCCCCCTTTAAGAGTGTTTCACTATTCACTGTGTAGTCCATGCTTTCCATAAACTTTTGGCAACCATCCTGCCTTCACTTTGTAAATGCTGGAAATTAAAGGTATGAGTCACCGTATCTATCACTTGTTTTTATGTTTTAAAATTGTCTCTTTACTTACTTTATTCTTTCAGCCTAATAGTTATATTTATTTTCTTTACAGGTTTAGAAGAACAGTACATTATTTTAATTTTTCAAACTGGCCTTGATCATCAGGCAGATGTGGTCTTTGAAAGTATCATTACTGAAATTGGTATAAAGAATAATGTTTCCAACTTTTTTGCAAAAATTCCTTTTGAAGAAGCCAATAGCAGACTCGTTGCCTGTACAAAAAGCTATGAAGAGAGCATCAAAGGAAACTGTGTACAAAAAGAGAACAAAGTGAAAACTGTAATTATATTTAAAAATCTTACAGTAATTTAATAGTGGGTAATTCTGTTTGTTTTTTTGTGATTCTGGAGATCAAACCCAGGGCTTCTACATATACTAGGTAGATACCTTGCCATTGAGACACACACTCAATAATAATGAGCAATTTTAAAACAAACTGCTTTAATATTGCTTATTTTTATGTTAGATTTAAAAATTAAAGAAATTTGAAACAAAAAATGTGTGATACAAGTTTTGGGAGATCTTTTAGTTCTTTTCATACTGTTCTTTTCTTTCTCTCCCATCTCTCTCTTTACACTGTATTCTGAGCATACAGATACCAACACTACTCGCTGAAATAGATTTTTACCCAGTGTTTTGGTGCTGAAGTTTAGGTCCCTTGTGCATAATACACATTTCTTTTAACATAGTTGACAACATTGGCAGTAAAGAATACACCCTGACTTTGTCAACATCTGCAAATGTCAAAAGGTTAGGTCACTCTGAAGCTGCAGGAACCATAACCTACAGGAGTACTGTACCATTTCTACAGCAGGTCAGTTTTGGTAGTTTTGAGTTTTGAGGTTTTGCTTAGTTTATTAGAAATAAATCTCTCAACCTGGTTACAGACTTAGAACTGTGGACTATTCAAGGTATAATTTGATGGCTTTGTTTGTCTCGGGGTCTTGCTTTATAAACTGATGGCAAAGTGGCAGTCCTACCTGTGTGTCTTAGGTTCTGGGATTACACATGTGTCCATCATACCCAGATGGAAAGTTTTGTCTGTTTGCTTTAGTTTCTTTTTGTTCTTATTTTTGATTTATTTTTTTTTAAATGGGTGCTACTGTAGCTCTGGCTAGCCTCAAACTCAAATCTGCCTACTTCCCAACCCCACTTCAAGGGCTTGGATTAAAAGTGTGTATCATTGTTCCAGCAAACTTTTTAATGTTTTCCTGAGCAACTATTTTTCATTTCAAGTGAGCTGTATATTCAGTCCCAAGATAGTCTTGATAACTGAACTAGACCTCATAAATGTAGTGGTAGCTAGTGAAGGGGAGAAGAGGAAATTCTGCCTGTTGCAGAGATTTAAAAAAAAAAAAAAAAAAAAAAAGGCAGGTGGAATGGACTTAGGGTTCCCTCTTATAAGTGTTCACTTCCCTGAACTGTATGTTTTTAGCACCTCCACTTCCCGCAGACTGCCTAGCCTTTGAACTAAGGTAGGTTTCCTATGCTACCATAAAAAAAATAAAATAAAATAAAAAAGCACAACAACAGCTTTGAGATTGTTTTATTTTAGCCATTCTTCACATCTTACCAGTCTGATTCCACATGAATAGTTGAAATAAGAAATGGGGAAAATCATTATTATGTATTGTCTGGAAGCTACTAGTGAATGTAGGCCTATTTCTAGTGTTTTGTTACTTCTCATTTTTAAGCACTGTCCATACAGGAGATTGCTATTTTCAGTCTTTAGAGTTCAACATATATATATATATATATATATATATATATATATATATATATATATGGAGGGAGAGAGAGAGAGAGAGAGAGAGGCAGGGTTTTGCTGTGTAGCCCTGGCTGTCCTTAAACTCACTATGGAGACCAGGCTGTCTAAAGCCTCCAGTTAGCGCCTTCCTGTGTCTCCTGAGTGCTTAGGTTATATGTGTGCATGTTCCATGAAAACGCCTTTTCTGCCTTGTACTGCTTGCTCGTTTTATTGAAGTAATTTCCCACTTAACTTCACAAATTGGTTATTTTTTTCTCTGTCAGGTGTCCTTTGAATCTAAAATCCAACTTAGAAGCAAACAAGAATTGCAGTTTTTTGATGATGAGGAAGAAGCTGGCGAGAGCCACACAATCTTCATTGGTCCTGTAGAAAAGTGAGAACATTTTTTTATTTTTTCAGTGCTTTAGAATGTCTTTTTCTTTGTTAAATAATGTTTTCTTTTTCTTTTATTATAGGTTGATAGTGTATCCACCGCCTCCAGCTAAGGGAGGCATATCTGTTACTAATGAGGACCTGCACTGTTTGACTGAAGGGGAGTTTTTAAATGATGTTATTATTGACTTTTATTTGAAGTAAGTTTACTAACTTATTAGCAACCTTTAATGTTCTGCCATTGTCTATCTTTTTTATCTGTTTTCTGAAGTCCGACTTTTGATTGGAATATCTGTCACTGCTGTATCCTGTGACACTTGAGAGAAGAGTAATCTACTCAAGTGTTCTTTCTCTACCTGTGTAGCCTTAATTTTAAAAGTGAGAATAAAGGGTAGTGAGAGATGAACGAGGTAATGTATGTGCGGTATTAAGGATGTACCCAGCATAGTTCTCGTAAATACTAGCTTAGTATGTAGAAAGGGCCACATACATGAAACAAAATCGAACTTATCCTCCTTCTATCCACGCTGTTGTTTTCTAGTTTATTTCAATATATCCCTTAACTGAAAATGTGGAACTGCTTGTTGAAACCTGCAAAACTGATTTAGTAACCTTGCACTGGAGTTCACCTCATACTTTGAGGGAAAAGACAGATCTAAGCAGTTTACTACAGGCTCTGTTTGGAATACTACCGCATTGTTGCAGTCACTGTGTGTTGGGGTGATTATCTTTTAGAAGGCCTTTGTAGGCCCCCTGAGCTGTTTCACTATAAGAAGTCTTTCAAGTTATATCTTTTTTTAAAGCTTAAGTTTTGGGCCAGAGAAAGAGCTTAGCAGGTGAAATCCTTGGCATATTCCATGCAGGCCTGAGAACTTGAGGTTGATCTCAGAAGCCACAGTGGGAAGAAAACCCTGACTCAACAGAGTTGTCTCCACATGCAGGTTTTGTAGTGTGAGCTGTTCCCCTCCAGACACACAATAATAATATTTTTTTAACACCTTGAGCTTTGATATTATCAAATGGTATAAAGTTAAAAGGTCTCAAGACTGTTCCCTTGAGGAAAACAGACCTCAAGTATTTTGTGTTTCTCTGTAAGAGTTCACAAAGCTTTTCGTACTGTCTTTTCAAGAGAATACGGCCATAAGCCTAATTCATCTAACTTCTGTGACAAGATTGGTACATAAACAATTAAATTTATTAAATTATAATTTCTCATTGCAATATAAGGGATCATGGATTTTTTTTTTTATGTAAGTCTCTAGCAGCATAACAGGAAGAATAAAAACTGATGTAAGAATGCTTGATAAAACAGGATCGGATGAATGGGGAGGAGGTCCCCCCCTATCAGTGGACTTGGAAAGGGGCACGGTGGAGATGAGGGATTGGGAAGGAATGAGGGAGCGGGACACGGCTGGGATACAGAGTTAATAAAATGTAACTGATAAGAAAAAAATAAAATAAAGAAAAAGAATGCTTTTTTAAAAGATTGTTAAATTTTTATTTCTGTGTACGAATGCTTGCCCACGTGTTTGTGCACCATGTGCATACCAGATGCTCTGGCTACCAAACCCAGGGCTTGGCAGAGCAGACATACTCTTACTGCTGAGACATAGCTCCAGCCCCGGAACTAGCTTCTTATTCTGCAGAATATGCTTGAACTTTGACTTTGTTGTCCTGTGTGTAGCAGCCATTTCTTCTGCCGAGTAAAATTCTATCATATATTTTATTTTTCCATTCATCAGTTCATTAGCATTTCTGCCAATTATTTTACACTGTTTTGAATAATATGTCTATGAATGTTCCTATACATTATTTTTGTATAAATATTTTTTCTTAGAGTTTGTTTTAAAACATATCTTTCAAATCATAGTTTTAATTCTAAAAAAGATCACTGTTTGAAGATCATTGCTTGAAGATATTTTTGATGACTATTGCATCTGGGACATGAAGTAAACTTCATCTCTAAGAGATAGTGATTATGGTGGCCAAATAAATGTATATCACTGCTTGAGTGGTTGTATATTGAGTGAACTGTGTTCCATTGTATAATTGTTTTTGCTTAAAATAGATACTTGGTGCTTGAAAAACTGAAGAAAGAAGAAGCTGACCGAATTCATATATTCAGTTCTTTTTTCTATAAACGCCTTAATCAGAGAGAGAGGAAAAATGCTGAGACAACTAATCTATCGTAAGTCAGATTCTTAACAGTTCGTTCAGTACTTATTCCTTAGCATCTGTGAGTATTAGTTCCCACCGTCTCATATTTGAGAGACCGGATTTACAGATATTCATGTCCTGGAGATGAAATGCTGAAGTCTTTGCATTTGACCTTTATATAGTCTTTCATTTACTTTAATTCTAGAATACTCATAACATGGTGTACATGCATTAGATATTTGTTAGGCTGTTTTCTTCAGTAGGTAATGACAAGGAAAACGGTACATACATGTTTTATATGGGTATACTTTTCCTCAAATATTTTCTATTCTCACCTTGTTAAATTGGTAGATATAAAATGAAAGGCCCATAATATTTTAAAACAAACCCCAACAAAAGCCCTACACATCTCTCTATTCACATGCTTCTTTCTTGAATCTGTCACCAGGAAAAGTACACCATCTAGGTTCATTTTTATTCTTCATAGATTTATATCATTTCAGCTGCCTAAAATAATCTTGCATTAGTTTTGAGGGATAACTTTTAAAAAAATCATCTTACTTGTATTGAGCAACATCATTTATTTCTGTTCCTGCTTTCTTAATATCAATGATTTTATCCTGCTAGCTTCAGAATACCTAGAATTCAGAAGTTGTAGGTCTAATATCTACAACAGTGGTTCACAAATAGGACTCATTTGTGTTTCTTCAAGGGTGATGAAACCATCACTGCTGCAATTTGCTCTAAGTGTTCCCTCAGTGATGCTGAGAGAAAACTTGAATCTGTTCTGTTTTCTCTTGTTCTCTTTGTGGGCTGGGGACAGAGCCAGAGCCTTTCTGAGTTAGGCTCAGGTGCTGTCTACCACAGCATCTCCAGCCTGACTTGTTTTTTGTTTTGTGGTTTTTTTTTTGAGACAGAGTTTCTCTGTGTAACTCTGGCTATCCTAGAACTCACTCTGTATGCCAGGCTGTCCTTGAACTCAGAGATGTATCTGCCTCGGTCTCTTGAGTGTTGGGATTAAAGGGGTGCACCACCACTGCATGGAATTTAATTTGTACTCTTAATAAGCTCTCAGAATGATTGCTCTCAGACAAGTTAAGGAAATTCTATTTGGTCACACCTGAGTTCTTTACAATTCCTTGCTACATAGTGATAGCATTCAGGTCTTAATCCTTGGCTTTAACTGGTCAAAAGATTCAACAGTTGGCACATCTTCTTGTAATGACACTGAAATGTCCTGAGTTCGAGTGTTATTCCAGATATAAATTATATTTTCTACTATTCTCACTTAGACAAATGGGATGGATATTGGAAGTAGGAGAAAACAAGTAACAGGACAGGAACCTACTGCAGAGGGCCTCTGAAAGACTCTACCTAGCAGTGTATAAAAGCAGATGCTGAGACTCATAACCAAACCTTCGGCAGAGTGCAGGGAATCATATGAAAGAAGGGGGAATTAATATGACTTGGAGAGGACAGGAGCTCTACAAGGACCAAATATATCAGGGCACATGGGTCTTTTATGAGACTGTTTCTCCAACCAAGGACCTTGTATGGATATAACCTAGACCCCTGCTCGGATATAGCCCATGGTAGCTCAGTATCCAAGTGGGTTACCCTAGTAAGGGGAACAGGGACTATTTCTGACATGAACTCAATGGCCGGCTCTTTGAGGTCCCCTCCACCCCCGAAGGAGGAGCAACCTTGCTAGGCCACAGAGGAGGACATTGCAACCAGTCCTGAAGATACCTGATAAGCTAGGGTCAGACAGAAAAGGAGGAAGACCTCCCCTATCAGTGAACTTGTAAAGGGGCAGGGAGGAGATGAGGGAGGGAGGGTAGGATTTGGGAGGGAATTAGGGAGGGAGCTTCAGCTGGGATACAAAGTAAATAACCTATGATTAATATAAAAAAATTAAAATTATTTTAAAAAAAGAATTTGCTAAGTTTATATCATAGACTTAAAATAGATTTTTTTTTTTGCTGCTTCTTTTTTTTTTTTTTTTTTTTAAATTTTATTTTTAGTTACATTTTGTTAACTCTCTGTCCCAGCTGTATCCCGCTCCCTCATTCCCTCCCCAACCCCACACTCCCTCCCTGGTCTCCTCCCTGTCCCTTTCCAAGTCCCCTGATAGGGGAGGACCTCCTCCCCTTAAAATAGATTTTTGACTGCTGTTGATAATTTATGATGCTGCTTTATTATCAAATAGTGCATATTGTACTTGCGTCCTTTCAGTTACCAATAAGTCATGCTCTGATTTCATATCTCAGTGTAGCTGCTAATAGCAACACTGCACCAGTAAAATGGTAGAGACACCCCCCCCCCAAAAAAAAAAAAAAAAAAACAAAACATTAGCCAGGAGAAGCTCTGAAGTTCCCTAGAGTTGTAAAATGAACTAAAGACACCTCCCTGCAGATTCCGTGATGAGGTTTCTTTCATGCCTTCTTTTCCAGGCTTCATTTAAGATATCAGTTCATGGAGTGGAATAATGGCTCAGTAAAGAGCTCTTTTTTTTTTTTTTTTTTTTTAAGCTTCAGGGAGTTTATTTTTGCCACCATTTCACATATACACACTTAAATGCTTTAGAACTATACAAAGTGTGTTGCTGAATGATAGGGATGTTTTTGTAAGTTTTTCATCGTAGAAACATCAGTGTGCACTTATACAAACTCTAAAATACTTTTTCTAAAATATTGCTTGATTTAATCTTTATAAGCATCTGTATACAAAGATAAATAACTTTCTTGAGGCTATATAAAATGTTTGTGTTTGAGCCTAGAACATCTGACTGAAAGTGCATTTCCCAAGTGTTAGTCTATTGAGTGTTTGTATATTCCTAAGTAACATGGAATGGTAATATTCTGGCTTTGAGGTATGACAGATGTGGTTGTGAGCCTTGTCTCTATTACATCCTAATATATTTTCATTTAAGTAAAGAGCTCTTCACTGCTCTTGCAGAGGGCTATGTTCCCAGCACCAAATGGCACGTAATAGTAACCTGTTGCTCCAGTTCTAGGGGATCCAGTGCTCTCTTCTGACTTGAGGGCACCAAACATATATAAGTATATATAATTTTAATTTTAAGATACCATGTTCTTTCTTCAACTTGTTAAAACATTAAGTGAAACTATGAGGTGTTAACATCTGAATCTTCTAATTCTTAAGTCATTGGATACAAGCTATAACTGTAATGACACTTAAAAGTTGATTATCTCTTTCTTACAGGATACAACAAAAACGACATGGGAGAGTGAAAACATGGACCCGGCATGTAGATATTTTTGAGAAGGATTTTATTTTTGTACCCCTTAATGAAGCGTGAGTAAAATTCTATGTAAATATCATGATAGTCTTTTTTTTAAATGAAGAATTTGTTTTAAAACATCTTTCTGAAATTTGTTGTATTAAAAATACTTATTTTATGAAAGTAAACATAGTTTTCTACTGAGTTAGAAAATACAGACACCTTATTCTAATTTTATTGCTCAAAGTGAAAGAAAGTCATTTCAAAAAATGATGCTTGTGTGGTACAATACAGTCTATGGAGATCACCTTGTTTTGAAAAGATGATTGTGTCACATAGAAGAATTTGAATCTTTAGATTAAAATTCATTCACATTTAACAGTATAGGTAAAGGTGCTGGATTTGTGAATTTAGTCAACTGAAAGCCATGCTATGAGAAACAGTCTTCTAAATGCTTCAGTAGAGATGCCTCAATACTTGATTATTGTTCTCCGGTGACTGACAGTGTTGATATATGTACGGTGTGTACAGCTTTATCATGTGATTAAGACTTTAGTTTGTATTGCTTTCTTTCTGTGTCTTTATTTTAAAAGAACCTGTTTGGAAGAATTTGGTCACTGGTTGTAATCTGGGGAGAGTCTGAGGTAGAAGTGAGATGGTTTATCTCTTTATGATTTGAGTAATTAATGTTGACTGGAATTAGTATTGTATAGGACTCTTTATAGGTATTTAACCTTGCTGTGTCATACAAAACTGTAAATTTCAAATGTGTACTTATCACATTCTTCTTTTTCTTTCTGTACAGCAAATTCACTTTGCAGTATGAGCAGCCCTCTTTTTTAAAATGTTTTAGTCATATGTAACTGTAGTCACAGCTTCTTAGGCTAACGCAGGAGGATCACTTCAACACAATAATTTCAGGTTATTTTTAACAAACATTAGGATCCCCCCCAAAAAAAACAGAAATAAATGCCATGTTTTAGGATGTCAGTTGCAAGCTTCTTGGTTAGTTGTTGGAAGGACCTCAGTTCTATCCCCAGCACTGCTGTGGGAAGGGTGATACGTGCATGTGTGTGTGTGTGTGTGTGTGTGTGTGTGTGTGTGTGTGTGTGTGTGATGTTTTAATTAGGAGGCCACAGCTCTATTAAGTCAAAGCATCAGTGATAGCTACAAAGACAACTTATTGAAGACTGTATTTTTATGTATTGTATAATAAAGTTATCAAGTTGAAACTTTGCATAAATAAGATTTCTTGGAATGTATCTATCATATAAAGTAGCACAAGCCTCCTAAGAGAAAAGAGGAAAGTTGTTTGTAAGAAATAAATAATAAAAATTGAAGTTGAAATTAAGTCATATATAATTTAGAGCCACTATAATCACGATCCATATCAGTAGAGGTTCCCCAGTCATCTTACAAGTGGTGGAGAACCAGTAGAGCACAGACCAATGCAGGAGTCTCCAAGAGGCCTACACCATGACCTGATGGAAAGCAGTCTGCATATATATTTTTTTTAAGGAGGTTAAAGCCACATTACTTCATTTTAGTAATGATATTTTTTTTTATTTTGTTTTGTTTTTTTTTTTTTGAGATAGGGTCTCACTATGTAGCCCTTACTGGCCTGGCTTTCTCATATATAGTCCAGACTCCATGAAATCAGAAAGATCAACCTCGCCTCTTGAGTGCTGGGATGAAAAGCACCACCATGCCCAGCCTAATGTTAATTCTTTTAAGATTCACTTTTATTTTATGTGTATGAGTGTTTACTTGCATTTATGTGTACCACAAATGCCGTTGGAGGCCAGAAGAGGGCCTTAGATCCTCTAGAACTAAAGTTAAGATGCCATTGGGTGCTGCGAACTGAACCCTGGGGTTCCCACCAAAGCAGCAGATGCTCTTCACCAATCAACCATCTCTCTAACCTCATAATACTGATTTTTTTTTTAAGCCCTGTATTTTGTGGTTAGATGTGATCAGGCCTGTGTGGTGGTACGCGCCTTTAATCCCAGCACTCAGAGGCAGAGGTGGGTGGATCTCTGTGAGATAATAGCAAATTCTGTACAAGCCAAAGCTACCAGTCTCAAAAAACAAAAACAAAGCAATGTCCCCAAACACAAACAAAGCCACATCTGTACACAAACCAAAAGGCAGGATGGATGAATTCTTCTTTCCTATTCTTAATAATCAGCAGTATACAATGACCTTAGGTCAGAGTAAAGCAGAAGAAACAGTATATCATCCTCATTCCAATAGCAAAAACACAGGCAATAGTAAGTTCCACCTCAGTTTTAAAATGATAAAATGTACAAAAGTGTGTTTCATACCATAGCTAGGCATGGTGGTAAATGACTGTACTCTAAAAAGGACCAAGGGTTCCATTTGACCCTTTTAATACTGAGAACAAAACCAGTCTTTATGACCTTTGAACTGAATATTTTCATATAAAGAGACAGTACTGTTTTCTCTTACTACCTTGGAGTCATTTAATAGATACAGAAACAAAAATATAAAATTACCTAATGAAATCATGGTGTTCGGGATAGGAATTATAGCTTTATGGTTGTGTACTTGCCTGGCAATATCCTCGGTCTGATTCCTAGCAGTAGAAAAAAAAAAAAAAAGTTTTCTATTGAGGAAATATTTTGGGGGCATCTTACTACGTGACAGATATTGTACTCAGCTAATAAAACCCTCTTTCATCTGTAGCCTATCCAGTGCATACTGGTACATAGCTCTGTGACTAGTAAATAATAGTTATTAATGACTGTTAGGCTATACTCTACTGTTGTCAATTGTGATACCTGAGTATAGTGACATGAATTTGTGCTTGAGAGCTAAAATTTCTTTCTAGTACTTGAGATTTTTGTAATAATAACTAGGTTAGATATGTCATTTCTTTTTAAAATTTATTTATTTACTGCAATTTGTTCATTTTGTATCCCTACTGCAGCCATCTCCCTCATCTCCTCCCAGTTCACCCACCCTCCCTCTTCTCCCCCTATGCCCTTTTCCTAGTCTGCTGATAGGGGAGGACCTCCTCCCCTTCTATTTGACCCTAGCCTGTCAGGTCTCATCAAAAGCTGGATGTATCATCTTCCTCTGTGGCCTGGCAAGGCTCCAAACCCCAGGGGGAAGTGATCAGAGAGCATTCCACTGAGTTCATGTCAGAGACAACACCTGTACCCCTTACTAGGGAAACCACTTGGAAACTGAGCAGCCTATGGGCTTCCACTGATTAGGGGGTGTAGGTCCTCTCCATGCAAGGTCCTTGGTTGGAGTATCTATTGTCCTCTTCAGGAACTCCTGGGCCCAGGTTTTTTTTTTTTTTTTTTTTTTTTTTTTTTTTAACTCTGTTGTTCTCCTCGTGGAGTTCCTATCCCCTCCAGGTCTTTCTATCTCCCTATTCTTCCATAAGGTTTCCAGCAGTCTGCCCAAGGTTTGGCTATGAGTCTCAGTGTCTTCTTCAATACCCTGGTGGGTAGAGTCTTTCAGAGGTCCTCTGTGGAAAGGCTCCGGTCCTGTTACTTGTCTTCTCCTACTGCCGATGTCTATCCTGTTTGCCCTTCTGAATGAGGATTAAGCATCTCTCCTAGGGTCCTCCTTGTTTAGCTTCTTTAGGGCTATAGATTTTAGTATGTTTGTCTTATATGGCTAATATCCACTTATAAGTGAGCATATATTGTATGTGTCTTTCTGCTTCTGGGTTACCAGAAGCACTCACTCAGGATGATCTTTTCTAGTTCCCACCATTTGCCTGCACATTTCATGATTTCCTGATTTGTAATTGCTGAGTAGTATTCCATTGTGTAAAAGTACCACAATTTCTGTATCTGTTCCTCAACTGAGGGACATCTGGGTTGTTTCCAGCTTCTGGCTATTACAAATAAAGCTGCTATGAACATGGTTGAGCAAATGTCCTTGTTATATACTTGAGCATCTTTTGGATATATGCCTAGGAATGGTATAGCTGGATCTTGAGGTAGCACTATTCACAGTTTTAAGTGAAAGCGCCAGATTGATTTCCAAAGTGGTTGTACAAGTTTGCTCTCCCACCAGCAATGGAGGAGTGTTCCCCTTTCTCCACATCCTCTCTAGCATGTGTTGTCACTTGAGTTTTTGGTCCTAGCCATTCTGATGGGTGTGAGGTGAAATCTCAGGGTTGTTTTGATTTGCATTCCCTGAATGACTAAGGACAGTGAGCATTCCTTTAAGTGTTTCTCTGCCATTCGATGTTCCTCTGTTGAGAATTCTCTGTACCCCATTTTTTAATTGGATTGCTTGGATTGTTGGTGTTTAACTTCTCGAGTTCTTTATATATTCTGGATATTAGCTCTCTGACAGATGTAGGGTTGGTAAAGATCTTTTTCCAGGCTGTAGGCTGTTGTTTTGTTCTGATGACAACATCCTTTGCTTTACAGAAGCTTTTCAGTTTCATAAGATCCTATTTATTAAATTTTGATCTTAGAGCCTGTGCTGTTGGTGTTCTGTTCAGAAAGTTGTCTACTGTGCCAATGAGGTCAAGGCTCTTCCCCATTTTTTGTTCTAACAGATTTAGTGTGTCTGGTTTTATGTTAACTTCTTTTATCCACCTGGACTTTAGTTTTGTGCAGGGTGATAAATACAGGTCTATTTGCATTTTTTTTAGACCTCCAGTTAAACCAGCATCATTTATTGATGATGCTGTCTTTTCCATTGTATGGTTTTGGCTTCTTTGTAAAAAATTAAGTTTCCATAGGTGTGCAATTATTTCTGGGTCTTTGGTTCAATTCCATTGATCCACCGTTCTGATTCTGTGCCAGAACCATGCCATTTTTATTACTGTTGCTCTATAGTACAGCTTGAGGTCAGGGATGGAGCTACCTCCAGAAAATCTTTTATTGTGCAGGATTGTTTTAGCTCTTCTGGGTTTTTAGTCTTTCCATATGAAATTGAGAATTGTTCTTTCAAGGTCTGTAAAAAATTGTGTTGTATTTTGATAGGAATTGCACTGGCTCTTTTGATCACTTTTGGAAGGACAGCCATTTTCACTATGTTAATCCTACCATAAATCCATGAGCATGAGAGATCTTTCCATTTTCTGATATCTTCTTCAATTTCTTTCCTTAGAGACTTCAAGTTTTTTTTCATGCTTTGTTAGAGTCATACCAGTTACTTTATGTTATTAGTGGCTATTGTGAAGGGTGTTGTTTCCCTTATTTCTTTCTCCGCCCATTTGTCTTTTATATACAGGGAGAGCTTCAGATTTTTGTGAGTTAATTTTTTATCCAGCCACTTTGCTGAAGCTGCTTATTAGCTGAAGGAGTTCTCTGGTAGAATTTTTGGGGTTTTCCATTTCTTTTTAAATATAATGTATTTACATGTTATAGTATAAGACTAGGAATTATTTGGATATATAGTTTTTAATAAGCCTTTCTTACTTTAACAATAGAAAGAGACACGATAAAAAACAAATTTGAATGGGTTCCAAAAACAAAAGATTCAGAACATTGTTTGCAAGAGTGAATGTGAAAATCTATAACCATAATTTAATAATAATATAGGTACCATAGACGCCAGGCAGTGGTGGCTCACATCTTCAATCCCAGTGCTCAGGAGACAGGCAGGTAGATCTCTGTGAGTTCGAGGCCAGCCTGGTCCATGGAGTGAGTTACAGGACAGCCAAAGCTATACTCAGACTCTACTCAAAAAAAAAAAAGTATATATATATATTAGTGTGTGTGTGTGTGTGTGTGTGTGTATTAATGTTAGGTACTATAATAATAAGTAGTTACATAATTCTACCAACAAATTAGTGGACGTAGTATGTTAGTTACTGATTAAATAAGCAAGTGACAACAGTTATAAACAATACAAAAAATTTAAAAGAACAATGTTCATAAACCTGTAAAAAAATCATTTTGATTGATACTTATTGACAAATATCAGGACCTTTTCCAATGATGTTTTTTTTTTACAGTGCACACTGGTTTTTGGCTGTTGTTTGTTTCCCTGGTTTGGAAAAACCAAAATATGAACCTAATCCTCATTACCATGAAAATGCAGTCGTGCAAAAAAGTTCAAGTGCAGAGGACAGTTGTGTTTCTTCTGCCAGTGAGATGGACGCTTGTTCACAGAACTCTGCTCCCAAGCCTGTGATTAAGAAGATGCTAAATAGAAAACATTGCTTAGCTGTAACTGATTCAAGTGCTACACAGGAAGAAAGTGAGCCATGTTACCGGAGAAACACATACAGTGTGAAATGTAGTGTGAAAAAAAAAAATCATGCTTTAAGTGAAAATGAAGAACCAAATAATGAAGAATCTGCATGCCGGGAAGTTACTGATAGAACTGAAAGCGAGAATGCCCTCCAGGATGAATGCTTCAACTCTGAACATCATCCAGGTATGTACTGATAGATTATGAAAGGGTAAAAGATTTCAAAGGACAATTGTTAAAATGATGTATTTTCTCTTGTCAGACTTACTGAGATATGTAGTGAGAATTTTGGAGTTTTGTCTTCATTTAAAAGACACGGAACTATTATAAGAATATATTTTCATCTTATTCCCAGGTGTGGGGATATGGCGCTGCTCTGCAGAATCTAACTATGATTTGCTGTTTGTTCTAGCAGAGGCATGATATTGCCAGTTGCAGGTAGTTTCTGCAATTGTGCGATATTTACAAATCTGGGGACTTGAAAGAGGATATGTAAATCCTATGGCCCTAAGAAGCAGGTGGGTTGTTGGTTGGTTGTTGGTTGTTCTTGGTCCTGTGCAAAGAAGAAACAACAACAAGAAATTTGATATCCTGCTGGGGAAGATCAAACTTAACCCTAAGGGGCTCAACGGTAGGAAGCAGTTTAATGATAATTTCGCCCACTTTTCAACCCTGACTTTATTCAGGGATCTCTTTCCTTTTCTCTCTATCTTTTCTCTCCTATCTAGTGATAGGGGTTGAAACTGGTGTGAAGGTGGGGCATGAAGGGTGAAAATAGAAGAACCCATAAAATAACACTCATTGGCCACAGAGGTAGATTTTACTTACAACGCCATTAATTATATTAATGTATTCAGTCATGAAGTCACTGAGACGAACAACATTTAGAGTCCTTCCAGTATGCAAAGACTGGTGTCTTATTCAGTCAGTCTTGTGTTTACCCCTAGAAGCAGAAGTAGCACCTCTGCTCTGAAACTGACGCACCACTGACATGGACACACTAAAATTGTCATACCCTTCCTTCCAGTGTCTAGAGAAGATATGTGTTAAAAGTTACTTCATGCCTGTGTTTGAGTTTCATTTCCTTGATACCACAAGTGATAGATGCAATAGCTCAAAACTCAAAGGAAAAAAATAAACCTTCAAATTTATAATTCTCCAAATATTTCTTTAAGAGAGATTTAATCTAGAGGTGCAGGCCCCACATTTTTTACTTATAAGAGCCTGAAATGATTTTAGTTCATAGAAAATTTCTTACATTCAAAATATACAGTAATTGCATGACTTTAACATCCAAGACAAATGCAGTCTTCACAATTTTTAGATTGATGTATTGAATTCAAATGGCCAAAGGCAGAAAATAACGCTTTCTTTTTCTTTTTTTTTTTTTTTTTTTTAGCAGCTGTGATTTTTAAAATTTTATTTATTTTTTTAATATTTATTACAATTTATTCACTCTGTATTTTAGCTGTAGCCCCCTCCCTGGTCCTCTCCCATTCCTACCCTTCCTCCCTCTCCCCTCATGCTCCTCCCCTAGTTCACTGATTGGGAGGTCATCCGACCCTTCCATATGACCCTAGCCTATCAGGTCTCATCAGGACTGGCTACATTGCCTTCCTCTGTGGCCTGGTAAGGCTGCTCCCCCCACCCCCGGGGGTAGGTGAGCAAAGAGCCAGCCTCATGACAGAGACAGGCCCTGACCTCCCTCCTAGGAAACCCACTTGGAGATTGAGCTGCCATGGGCTACATCTGAGCAGGGGTTCTAGGTTATCTCCATGCATAGTCCTTAGTTGGAGAAAACTTTCTTTTTCAAACAAAAGTTGGGATTCCTGTTCCTCGTTCTCCTTCACTTGTTTCTGTAGGAAAGGGCTACTTCTTTGATGCCATTTTAATTTCCCTTCAGGCCTTATGAATTGGTTTTCATTTCCTTTAATGAGACACTATTATTTCTGTCTTCTTTAGCAGGAATCTAAGATTATGATCAAAAAAAATTTTTTAATATCAAGTCACTTTCCTCGCCAACCCACAAGTACTCAATGTATTGACCTCACCATTACCTAGTTTGTGATACTATTGCTGTGATGAAACACCATGACCAAAAGGAACTGACAGAGGAAAGGGTTTATTAGGCTTATACACTTACATCACTGTTCATCAGTTGGGGAAGTCAGGACAGGAACTCAAGCAGGGCAGCAACTTGGAGATAGGAACTGATGCAGAAGCCTTGGAGGATTGTTGCTTACAGTCTTGCTCCTCATGGCTTGATCAGCCTGCTTTATTATAGAATCCAGGACCATCCAGGGATGGTCCCACCCACAATGAACTGAACTGTGCCCTCTCAAATCAATCACTAATTTAAAAAATGTTTCACATGCTTTCTTTCCTACAGCCCAGTTTCATGAAGGCACTTTTCAGTCAAGCTTTCCTCCTGTCAGTTGGCTATAGCTTGTGTCAAATTGACCTAAAACTAGCCAGCACAGGCATTATTCAGTGTACATACATGTCAAAATATCTTATTCTACCCTGTAAGGTTTTGCAGGTTGGCCCTTCATGCCTGTTGCGGAGAATCAAACCAGGCCCTCACACATAGTAGGCAAGCACTCTATCGCTGTGCTTTAATCTCCAACCCTAAGAATATGTTCAGGTATTAGGTGTCAATTAAAAAACTTATCTGTTCCATAAAAATCCATAGTACTCAGCATGGTCTCTATCTTGCAAACATTAAATTGTGCATAGACTTACAAGTTTGTGGGATAAGGTAGGCTAGCTATAGGATTTAAAATGTGGATTTAAAATTATGGAAAATAGCATATAATGAACATTTTTGGTGCTCTACCAATTTTTATTTGTGAGCTAGGAGTTTCACATCCGGCGTGGTAGCTCATGCCATTAGTCCTAGACCTTGGGAAGTAGAGACAAAATGATCAGGAGTTAGTGGCCAGCCCTAGCTACATAACAAGTTCAAGGTCAGTCTGGTTTACGTTGAGACCCTGTCTCAAAAAGATAAAAGGGGCAAGGGTGTGCTGAGCTTTTGTAAGGACATTTTGCTATACTGAGCTTCATAAGCTACTGTAGCTGTGAGATAAGATGGAAAGGGAAAATAGAACAAGAACAAAAATTGGTCATTAAAAGCAAAAGAGATCAAATTTTTGTCTAGGTTATTTTCCAGTCTAGTTCATTAGGATTACAGGTAAGCAAAAGGTAAACTAGCAAGTACTTAACCTGTAATTCTTTCAGTGTTCACATTTTAATTATTGATTTTTTTTAAACCTAATTATTTATTTGAAATCTCAAAACTGGAATATGTATTAAGTATGATTTATTACTTAGGGTTTTCAGCAGAAGACAAAAGGCAGGGAATATGGAAACAGGACAGTGTGGTTATGGGATTTGTTCTTGAGGCCTTGAAATTGGAGCTGATGATGAGCTCAGTGGTAGAGGGCTTGCCTAGCATTTGTGAGGCCCTAGATTCAACCCCTAAAACCATGCAAAAGATAACATCAAAACCAATATTGTGATAGCTGTTAATTGCTCATATTTGTGAATATATGACCGTTTTGAGTGTTTGTGGAAGATTGGTTCCAGCCCCACTCCCCACGAAAAGGTTACCCTAATTTATGGATGCTCAAGTTCCTAATGTATGAGTATTGTTCATATATGGTATATTTGCACTCTCAGTAGACTTCTGTTTGTTGTGTTTCTAAATATGTAGTTTTTAATCACATGCTTTATTTTTACTCTTGTTGAACGCAGGACCTGTGCATGTGAGGCAAGCATTCTCACTCAGCTGTACTCCCAGCCTCTATAATGTATTATTTGGGAAACTTGAAGGGAAAAGGAGCCTCTACACATGTTCAGTACAAACTATATTTTCCTCCATAAACATATGTATTTATAATATATATATATACACATTTATACATAAACAGATAAATACAATTTACTTATAAATATATATTTATGGAGGAAAAATATATATAAATAATTTTCCTCCATATATAATATAAATTTATATGTATAAGTCATATCTATACAATTTTTTATAGAACGCGTCCCTGTGTATACTGTGTATACTTGCTGACTTTGAACTCATACAGATCTGCCTTCCTCCCCTGTGCTGTTATTGAAGGTGTACACCACTGTACCAACCCCCCTGGCTGCATATATCCTTAATCCATACTTGGTTGAATGTGAAGATATAGAGGGCTGACTATACTCAAAAGCACTGGATTGTATATTTGAAATGGTGAATGTTGCGTGAATTATATTTTATCACAACTATTTAAGAAAATAGAGAATACAGTTCAATGAAAAGAACACAAAGCCCTGGTGGTCATCAGTACCACCAATAATATTAATAGTCTCTTTTTAAACACTTTAATGTGAGAGCAAATAAATGTCCCCTTGGAGCACAGCTTAGCACTTCACATGCACCAGCTGCAGAGCTTCCAAGTTGCCCCTGCAAGTTGTTTGGTTGAGTAGGCAGTTAGGTTTGAAGACACAGTCTCAAAACACTAGGAGAGACTAAAGTACAAAATAATGTTTTATGTAGGTTTAGTCACGTTTTCTTATAGCCTATATATTTGCTTTCCTTTCATATGTATGTGCCTACATTAACTGTATCTTTATAATTAAAGGCAGGGTCTGTAAAACTAGTACCTCACAAAACAATTTGTTGTTTGTATATGTGATAATTCTAATTCTGTTTTCTTTTGTTTTACATCTTGCTTTAATCCAATATTGGCCACATCCCACAATTTGATAAGTGGTGTTCAAAACTGATACAGTTGATTTTTTTCCCCCATTGAGGTTCTGTAGAGTTTATCAGATGCTTTGAAGAGGTCATTGGCTCAAAAGTACACCAAGTAAGGGTTTTCTCAAAGCATAACTTTCCCACTTCTGAGAGGATGACTAACCAGTCTTCCAGTGATGCCATATGAACAGTTAGGAGGTCATAAAAAGTTTGTGCCCTGATTTCTGCTTGACTAGCTCAATTCTATTTGGCCTGGGAATATAGTTCAAAAGATAGATTTTAAATGGTTCACATGATTTTAACTCTGAGATCTCTGTAGTTAAAAATGTTCACTAATAATGTTACATAATATTCCACAGTAAATGAATGGGATTATGTGTATAGTTTTAAGGCTGCTGCTGTTTTCAGCTGGACATAATGGAAAGTAATTGACCAAATCGGGGGACATGAGAAACATGTGGGCTTAAAATTTAGTCACTCAGTTAGACACTGCACTGCCAAGATGACTCATTGGGTAAAAGTGTCTGCCACCAAGGGTGTTAACTTGAATTCAGTCCCTAGAACTCAGTTGTTGGAAGGAGAGAACTGACTCCTGAAAATTATCTATAGACAGATAAGTATGTGTATACACACATAGTACATATATAAATGGTTTGTTTTTTAAATGATACTTTGGTTTCTAATTTGTTTTAAAAATATTTTTAATCATGTATTTGTGTTTTGGGTATGCACATGTGAGTACAGGTGCCCCTGGCTATCTGCTGTGGCCTAATGTGGATGCTGGGAATTTAACTTGAGTATCTTTTAAAGATAAGTAATATGTTCTTAACCACCAGGTCTTCTCTCCTCTCTCCATCATCCCCTCCCCCCTTACCCTCTGCTCTCTTTTCTCTTCTTTTCTTTCTTTTTTTTTATTTAAACTTATTACTTTAATTTATTCACTTACATCCAGATTGTAGCCCCCTCTCTCATCTCCTCCTGGCCCCGCCTTTCTCCCTCTCTGCCCCCCATACCTCTCCCCTAGTCCTCAGAAAGTGGGAGCCCTCCTCTCCTACCAACTGACCCCCAGCCTATCAAGTCTCATCAGGACTCCCTGCATCCTCTTCCCCACCAGAAGAAAGTGATCTAGAAGCAGGCATCAGAGTCCATGTCAGAGACAGCCCCTGCTTCTCTTGCTAGGGAACCCACATGGAGACTGAGCTGCCTGTGGCCTACATCTAAGCAGCGGGCCTAGGTCCTATCCATGTTTGGCCCTTGGTACAACAGTCTCTGCATGCCCCGCTTGCCCCTGGGCCCAGATTTGTTGGCTTTTTTGTTGTTTTTAGAAAAGGCCTTGCTATGTAGCCCTGGTCGACCTAGAACTCACTGTTTAGACCAGTCTGGCCTCAAACTCTCAGAGCCTCTGCCTCTGGAGTGCTGGGACTAAAGGCATGCACCTCTACACCCAGGACTAACCAAGCCCAATCCTGCTTAACTTTTTAAGTTCCAGTGAAAGTCAGACACATGCAGAGTGGTATGGCTATAGACTATATTATTTTTAAGTGGCTTTAGAAATAGTTTAATTGGTTCAAGGTAAATACTAATGTAGTAATACTTTTTACAGATAAAAATGATTTGCTTGAAGAAATAATCTGATTGTATTGACTAGTTTTAAATTGCCTTGGGATTTGTTTTAGATTTAAACAAATATAAAACGCTTAATTTTTGAAACAGATAAATTGAAGAGGTGTGTATAACAAAGGATTTATCATTGTGCTTTGTTATCTTATGGAGTGCATTTCTGATTTTAGCATTTTGATTAAGATATCTTTTCAGGAACACATTTTGTTTTGCTTCTTTCTCAAGATTCCTTGTTTATATTAATTAACCTTTCATAGCTTTAATCAAGATTGAGGTAAACTTTTTTATCTAAAATACCTAAAAGTCATTCTTTATGAATTTTTTAAATGCTATACACTGTTTTAAGCAATATTGGTATATGTGGTATTAAAATCTCTGACTTGGTTTTTAGAATGAACTTTAAAGAATGTCTATTTCAGTTTTATTCTAAGAGTCATTTACTTTTGTGGTATGTGTGGTTTTGTTCCATTGAGAAGTAATCTTAATGTTCATACTTTTTCTTATTTGTGCAGAAGCAATTCTATTTGTACTGTTGTTTTTTAACCTTTATTGTTTCTATGTTTCATCATTTTAATCTTAAAACTATACACTTCTATCTGTTTAATCTGTGTTTTATGGCTTACTGGTTTTGTTTGGGAACTTATGCTTTTTTTAGACTCTTGTGCTTTCTGTTTGTTTTCTGGCACCAGTACAGATATATTTGACACACATCCTTACATACACACATATTTATACAACCTTGTTTTTATTTTTTCATAAATTTTCGGGCCTGAGCAACAGTTCTGCAGTTGACATCAATCCATGTTTTTATTTAAAGTAACTTACTTTATATTTGTTTTATTAACACTGTAGCAGATTTTTGTTATTTATTGCATCGTTGTTACTTGCATTTTGGTATTCTAGCCTCTGGGTCATAGGCATGGCCCTTGTTTTTTTATTTTTTGCCATACATTGTTCCCTGTTGATATAGATGCCTTAAGCAAAATCAGACTAAACTACGGAGATCAGTCTGCAGAAGGTGGAAAACTGCTTGAAGATGAACTCATTGACTTCTCAGAAGATCAGGATGATCAAGTAAGATCACATACTTTGTAAGAATCTGTTACAGAACCTTAGAACTGATGACAGAGTTAATAGACTTCTGGATTTGGCTGTATTTCAAAACAAAACCAGTTTTCCAATTAGAAGTTGTCAGGATCCATTTATTAGTGTTCCTGTTAAAACTGTGATACAGGTGTTGAATTCTAATGCTACCTGAGAATATTTTTATATAAAGTTTAATTTCTTGGAGTGGGAAGTGTATATCTCAGTAGTACAGGGCTTGTTTACTATAGACTAGGCCCTCAGTTTAATGCTGTTGTACAAAAGAAGTAATGTTTTCTTCAAAATATTTATGGGCTATACTTGACCCATGCCCTAACAACATCCGAGAGACAAGCAGTATAATTTTCAATTATGTAGTACACATAATTGTAGTATACATAAAAACGGTAAAATTACTTTTTTTTTTACTTTCCCAGTACCTTTTTTCTTAACTTATCAGTGACTATTTTCTTTTTCCAATTTAATGTCTATTTATTATAAGAGCATATAATATTTAATTAATATTATCATAGGTGAATATTTCCTGAATCTTATTTGCCCTAATAAATATCATAAACACTTAAAATTAAATTTAATTTTGAAGATGGTTTATTTAAATTGTGAGACAAATTTGTGAGAAGCTGTAGAATACTTTTTCTAGAAAATTTTTTATTTGTTTGTTTGTTTGTTTGTTTGTAAGAGGCCATGCCTGCACACTGCAGCATGTATGTGGGAGTCAGAGCACAGTTGCAGGAGTCCTTCTTTCACCATATGGGTCCTTGAGATGAAACTCGGGTTTCTGATTTTCGTGTTAGGATAGACTTTCAGTTGTTCATATAGTGGTGAAGATACTTCATACGTTATGCTGCCCAGTGTATTTTGTGTGTTATCCTGGAGTTTATAATGTGTAGCTGTAAGATATTCAGATGAACTAGTTTACATAACAGATAACTGCTTAAATCAAAATCACCATGAACCACGGCTAAATCGTGGATAGCCTTGGTATACCTATTCGAAAATGTAGGCTGAGCTGTGTTTAAGATTTTGAAGTTTTTCACATTTAAACTATTTATATAGACTTTACCTGATGAACTATCAATATAATACAAATATCAGAAATTTGAAGCAAAAGAGTGCTACTGTGCACTTCAAATTGGTGTGTTCATGTGGTGGAAAAGAAAATAAAATGTATTTTCCAGCTATATATATACTTATAAGCCAAGGGGTAATTAAAAATGACTTTATGTCACAAAAGTAAGGGGAAAGGAAAAACTCTAATAAATATCTATCTTTGCCACATGTAAACATCTGAAAGTTTGTCTTGCACTAAAGTTTGTGTTATACTAAAGGCCTGGTGAGATGGTTTAGAGGGCAAAGCATTTGTTTCACATGCTGATAACCTAAGTTGTGTCCAGAACCCACATAAATTGGGAAGGAGTGAAAACCAACTCCATAAAGTTGTCCCCTGACTTTCACATGCACACATACAATAATATGAAACAAACAGACAAAATCTTTAAATTTTAGTGTTTTAGCTGAACTTTCTAGGTCATCTACCTCCTTGGGATTAGAAGTGTTAACACTTTGTTGGAAGGAGTTTTGTTACCCTCAATGCTGTTTTCTTAAATTGCTAGTTATATCCATAATAGATTCTTAATAAGTAACCAAAAGCTGTCTTTTATAGGATGATAGCAGCGATGATGGACTCCTTGCTGATGAAAACTACAATTCAGAAATAGGACAATGGCATTTAAAGCCTACTGTCTGTAAACAGTAAGCATTGCCTACATCCTGAAAACTGTAAAAAAAAATTTTTATTAGAGTCGTAGAATAAAACACTACAGAACAATTCTTACTTAAGCAGAATTCACAAATGCTTTCAGAGTCAGGGAGAAAAAGTTGGTATAGTATTTGAAGTCCTCCAGGGAGGCTTTTTTATTTCATTCATTAAGTGTTACAGTACTGCCTTGTTTCCCGTTATATTGCTGTAGAAAGCATTAGCAAAAACTCCATTAATGGTCCTTGAAAAGCAAACTTCATTTATAAAAGAAAATATAAATATTTAGAGAAAATATAATTTTTATAGTTCAGAGATCTGTCAGGCCTTACCATTGTAGGTCAGAGTTAGATGTGTGCTTAGCATGTCTAATGCTCTGAGTTCAATCTTTAGCAGGGAGAGGGAGAAGATGGGGTAATGTAGAATGGAGAGAAAAGATCAACATATCAGACTTACTTTGGCACATTAGATTTCCTCATTTATTTGAGTTTACAACATACTAAATTCAACATACTAAATTAAAATTCTAAAGATTGGATCTCAGTTGAATAGAATGTTCTAAAATAAAGTCTTGCCTAAAAACTATATTGTGTCATAAACAAATTCTTGTGGTTACCTGTTTAGTTTTCTGTAGTAAGCTGTGTTTTATAATGAGGCTATTGGAGGCCAGTGAGATGGTCAGTAAATAAGGGCATTTGCTGCCAAGCATGATGACCTGAGTCTAAATAATTCCTGGAACCCATGTAGTGGAAGGGAAGATTCAGACCCTTCTAGTTGTCCCTCCACATGCCATGACATATACATGTGCATATATATGCTCACACACAATAATTACTTTTATAGGGTCCCATTTTTATTTTGCTGGAGTTGTATTACTATTCTGTAACGCAGTGTTTCACATTACCATAGATATCGAAATGTCTTGTTTCTATTATGTTTACTTTACCCCTTGAGTATTTACTGAAACTAAAGAAAATTTCAAGCTTTTAAATCTTACTACTATATACTATATACTATTTTTAATTTTCTTGTGTATATGTGACATAATTCATATTTAACTTCTATTATTTCTATGCTCCAGACCTTGTATCCTACTTATGGACTCACTCAGAGGCCCTTCTCGCTCAAATGTTGTCAAAATTCTAAGAGAGTAAGTTCAAAACTATACCCTATCTGTTTGATACACTGTAGCTGAGGCCGGAAGTATATTTACATGTCTGTGTATTCTTGGTACATGTGTGCTGTTGTAGGTATTTAGAAGTGGAATGGGAGGTTAAAAAAGGAAGCAAAAGAAGTTTTTCCAAAGATGTAATGAAAGGTTCCAACCCAAAAGTTCCACAGCAGAACAACTTCAGTGACTGTGGTGTGTATATACTGCAGTATGTAGAGAGCTTTTTTGAGGTGAGTTTCATTTCATTGAATCTGATGAACTAATGAAATGTGTAATTTGACTTTTTGTTTAATGAACAAATAAAAAATCATTTTAAAAGTTATTTTAAAATGATTCTAATGTACAAAAATTCCCAAGTTTGAGACTTTTTAAGGGATAAAAATACTATAATTATTGGTCACCAAATCCCAGGTTTGTTGATCATCTTTGATCCTGTCTTATGATTCATGCTGTCTCATTGTCTGTCCCCATCTACACACACACACACACACACACACACACACACACATTGCCTCTCCAGTTTTTAAAATCTTGTATCTTCCCTACCCATACATTGAGTACTTTCTTGACTTCCAGCTCCTTTCCACTATTCCTTCTTCACTCTTGACTGTGGCATGGTTCTGTCCATACCTCTCTTACATTCCTTTGACTCCTTAATCACAATTCATTGAATGAACCACCAAATCTCATTTTAGCACTTCTAATCACGTATATACATTCCTGCATTCCTGCCACCATTTTCCAAGTCCAGTACTAGTGTCGCTCTGAGCTGCAGTACCAGAGATTGTTGTGCCATCTGTTCTTCACAGTCATTTCTAAAAACTCTAATCATGTTCCTCCAATCAGGTTTATATTTAGTGACCTCGTGTTGCCACTGAGCTAAAGAACAAAACCTTTCTGATAGCCTATACATAGCTGTGTATTGGCTAGTTGGTGGTCATTCTTTTCCTTATTGTGCCATGTTTCCAGGCCTTGAAACACTTTCCTGACGTTTCTGTTATTCTTTGGCTGGATAACATCTACTTACTCTCCAGGCTTGTCTTAAAAATCAGACCAATGGTCTTTATTCTCATTGCACTTCATACTTGTCATACTTTCTTGCTAAGATCAACTGTCTTTTTATAGAGCGTGATGCTGGCATTCTTTTTTTTTAGGCCTAAAAGTAAATACTTGGGGTTTGCAGCGGTGGAGACTGTTGCAGTTCTCACTTCTAATTGTACAAACAACTGCAAACCATTTGTGAATGTGTATGCTTCTGGTCAAATGAACCTCATTGCAAAAACAGGGTTTGGGCAGAACTCAGCCCAGTAACGGCAGTTTGCCAGACTCTAATCAATACAGAAAACTCCATAGGCCAATACTCTTTACCTCTAGCGCCTAACTCAATCCCCGGCTTGTGAAATGTAACAAGTGAATAGATACTGATACTTAATTTTTGAGTGTTGTTGTAATTTAAACTAAAATGTCACCTATTACAATTTTCTAATAAGCATTTAATCTTTTTACTTTCAGAATCCAATACTAAACTTTGAACTACCTATGAATTTGGTGAACTGGTTTCCTCCTCCCAGAATGAAAACAAAAAGAGAAGAAATTCGAAACATAATTCTGAAGCTGCAGGAAGAGCAGAGTAAAGAGAAGAAGCTGCTGAAAGACACTTCCCCAGCAGAAACATCCTTAGGGGATGGAGTGGAGCAATATGCCAGCAGTGTCTCAGAGTGACCAGGAAGCTGGGTCTTGTAGGTTCTTTCTACCTTCAGAAATCACATGGCGTTCAACTTTGGGTATAGAAAGTGTAGAGCTGAAGTGCTCACTACTCAGAGATTTGGGAAGTTAAAGCCTGTAAAAATGTCATATAAGTAATTTCCAAAGGAGTATGTATTAAGTAAAAGTCTGTAAATATGTTAATGAGGCCAATTTTCCAACATTTATAATTATTTTTTTCACTTTTAGGAAGCCTTTGTTATGTATTTTCTGTTAATAGTACTAAACTGCAACTTCTAAACACAAATAAAATATTTATAGGAGGAAATGATTAATTTGATATTTTTTAGTGAACTTGCATAATTCCTCAGAGTGTGATTTTGTTTCATGGGAATATATATATAAGCATCTATGATTTTTTTTTAAACCTTTGTTCTAAAATATTCAAAAATGTGAAAGTATAATTGTCAAAGACATTTTAAACTAAAAATGCATCTTTATATGGCTACATAGCAAGAAAAAAAAGTATCTTTTCAATTCATGCTCTTTCATCTGTTCAGAAAAGCCCCAAAATGTAAAATATTTATAATTTTACACAAATACTTAACCAATATTAAGAGCAATCAAAGACAACACGCCTTGACGCCTGCTACTAAAGCATGTCTGCACTGGCATACACTCTGCGACTCAGGTGAAAACTATCCTGGCAAGTGCAGCTTGAATCTCAAATATCCAATCTTACCTTTGTACTTTATCTTACAGTATGCTGCAACCTGTATGATAGGACTAGTTAAGAAACATTTTAATCTGTATAAACACAGGAATTCAAATAGGAATTTATTTTTTTGTATCTTCTGCTATTTTTTCATTATTTTGTTCTCATTTTGATAAAGTATTAGACTTTTTGCTTAATTTTTTTCTGTGTAAATTATTCTAAATGCAGTCGTACTCTCATTAATTGCATAATGCAGCAAAAGCCCTTACTTTGAATTTCCCACATAGGTTGAGAGATGTGGGGTTGGGCCACTGTAGTTCAGTGGTAGAGTGCATGTTTAACATGCTGGAGACCCCTTGGTTCAATCTCCAGTAGCAAACAAAAATGCAAAAATAGGAAGCTTCTGATGTCACATTTGTCATTCATGTAGAGTTCTCATTTATATAGGTAGAAATTGTTATTTTTTTCAAATGAATGGTATATATTTCTTTCTAGTTAAATGTAAGACTTAAAGTATGTTTTTAAGTCATTTTTATTAGTGAATTTTTAAATGCCCATAAAACAACAAAAAGTTGAGAAAAAAGGCCATTCTGTCAGCAGATATTTTACTCTGACATGGCTATATCTGGCATTATGAGCTACAGCTTATACTGTTAATGGGCTTAGTAAAATGTTGGGAGAGGTTTGGAGTGGTTGAAAATGTTAACAAAAAACTTATTGCGACTCTAGTGACAAATCTATTAAGTGTAAGGAAAAAAAACCATTAGTGCTATCAATTGTGTTTCTTTTTACTTTGACCTACCTTAATTTTCTTATCTCTGATTATTTCTTTTTTAGTAAAACTTTACAGCTGCTAGGCCATATAATTAGCTCAGATAAGTAAGACAAAAAGTTTTCTGATTTTATTTCTAACTAAAAATGCCAAAATGCTTTTGTTCTCTACTGAAGTTAAGACCAAAAAACAAACAAAAGGAATAAAAAAATAAAAAAAAAAAAACTTAATAGCAAGTATAAACAAGATTAGCAGATTTTACTTTTTGAATGGACTCTATTTTGCCAAAATTTGAGGGAACTGGAAAAGTTAACTGTAAGGACCAGGTCGACTGGCACATGCCAGTTAATGCCAGCTGCTTAGGGGGCTGCTTGACCGCTTGAGCCTAGCAGTTCAAGGTCAGCCCACAATATGGTGAGACACTGTCTCAAACAAAGCAAACTATCCTAAAATGTTTGTGGTGTTTTTTTTTGTTTGTTTGTTTGATTCTTAATAGCTATATTTTATGATGTTAGATAACTTTTGATAGGATAAAATTATAACTTGTTCCTTGGGCTAATTCTGGTCAGTATTTTTTTAATTTCAACATGAAAAGTAAAGATTGATGTGTGTCAATTTTCTAGAGGTAGAACACTTTGGTGTTAGCTCTTTGGTGGTTTTTGTCCCACTCATTTAAAATTTTACTTCTGGTTATGCTAATGACCTTGTAACATGCACATTGAGATCTGTGGAACTGTCAGTTATGCTGCAGAACTAGACAAGATCTTAGAGAGGTGTATTTACTTGATAATTGTGTGCTCTGGTTCTTCAGTAGTTTAAAGTGGAGATCTTCCTTTAAAATGTGTGATTAGTACAAGCCGTAAGACAGAACTTTGCAGTCAGAAGTCTGTCACTTGACACCAGAGCTGCATGAGGATATCTGGTGACTTTGCTAATTAGATAGAGCTGCTGTATTGGTTTTCCTGTTGGATAGAATAACAGTTAATCATTTTTAGAAGAGTTTTATATTACTTGCCATAAAATTTGTATGTGTCTGCGCTCCTGCTAGTTTAGGAGAAAGATGGTGTTAACCAGTCTCGTCCCTTTGGCGTCACAGACAAACTTTCTTCAGACAGCTGAGAACTTGACAGGGTTACTTCAGTTCCACTCAAACCTGAAATACTTGGCTTTCCTTTGCATGCATCGTGTGCTTAACTAAATTAAATGTAGAAGGTTTTATTTTGAAAGCATAAAATTATTTGTATTGTGTTTTGTCTCTAAAATGAATTCAGTATTTTTCTTTGTAAAGGCTATTTGTAGTGTCTGAAGACTGTCAAGATAGAAAGTAAATAGAATAACAGTTCTCTCAAAATTATTCCTAAGACTCAGTTCACTGAGTTGTTTTAATTGGGAGTTGGAGGGATGATCTCTAGGAAAGAAAGAGCCCTTTAAGGGATGCAGCAGGGTAGCATTTGTCTAGAGCAAACAGGCATCAAAAAGCTTTTTTTTGGAGTGAGGGCTGGAGGCAGGGGATTGTTGTGTGGCATACCGTAGACTAGCAATTCCATGTCCAGGGTCAACTGTGCAGAGCAGCCTCAAGCACGTTAGACAGATCTCTGCACAGGACTTCTCTTTAGTGAGATAATCAATGTGCAGGGTTATTAAGTAAAATCACAGGCCACCATATAATAATTAAGCCATATCTTCTGTTCCCAGAACTCCAAGAGTGAACAACTTATGATGTTTTGTGAACTTCAAGAAAGATGGTTTCTGAGGGTTTAAAAAACAATTTTTCAATAGTTGAGTTTATTACTTAGAATCTTGAAAATAAGTAACGTATGTTGATGAAATAAAGTTTTTGAGAAGCCTTTTTTTTTTTTTTTTAACCAATATGAAAATAACCTTTGGAAGGAAAAGGTTATAAATTATTTTTTTTCATGGTAATGAGTTTATTTAGGAAAAAGAGAATTAATAACTAATCTCTTTGTAAGGTCATCAGATCCTAACATACATATGAAAGTAACAATTTTAAAAATACAGTAGTGAACTGAAAGGTCGTCAGGAGGCTTTTCCCTTTCTCTGAACCTCTTTTTTGCTACATAGACATTCCCTCTGACTTCTACTCCATCTTTTATGTTGGAACTAAACTGCAGTAGTTAAACCTCATACGTAAAGGCATATTTTTCTTCTGTTAAGATCTGTGCAAAAAAAAAAAAAAAAAAATGTATTCTTTTGTAAGCTGGAATAGTTTTATTAACATCATTTGAATATTTTAAACTTGTCTTACTAAGAGTTGTTCAAATTTATAATAAAACATCTTATCATAAGTAGTTTTATAGGGTAACTACTTAATTAGATTTAAAAATTGTTTAAACATTCAATGTTTGGAGGACCTACCACATGGTAGAGGACCAAACAAGACACCATCTTTCTGCCTCACAGTGTGATGGGAAACATAGTAATTGGCTTCACAAATGAGTGCTAGCCATGAACAGTGCGGATAAAGACCATAATCTCCAGGTCTTAGAGGGTTAGAGACTTCTTGAAGGGGTAACATTTGAACCAATGGTAATAGTCTAGAAAAAGAAGAAGAAAGTCTTAAGTAGAAAGAAGATGTTTTGGCCTAAAATTCTAATTGCTTCATTAATAAAACATACTGAATGGTAGATGTTGTTCAGAACACTTTAGATTAATTTTCTTAATGATCTTAGGAGATTTTTGTACTGCTAGTACTTCCACTTAATAAGACAGAGAGGCCCAAAGAAAGTTTCTTGATTTCACAGCATTAAACAAAGTTGCTAGGTTAACCTGTGCTTGATATGATTTTTTTTTTTTTTTTAAGAGATGTACTGTGGTGGGGCGTAAGGAACAGGTCTGAATTAATCGATGTGAACACATTTGCATAATTTCTTAGAATGCCTTATGTAACTGAGTTTCGTGAAGTAGAAAGGGAGGTTGGGCACTAATCATGCAAGGCCTGTGGCCATATTCAAGATCTTGATCATTACTGTGAAAAGTTACAGAAGCATTTCAGACAGAGGAGTGACGTGATCCAATGTGAATGCAGAAAAGATTGATGAAAATGGGGCCAGAATGAGTGTACTCTCACACTGAAACTGTGAGTTCCCAAACTGAGTCATAGAATAATATGCCTATATGGTAGGAATGCTGGAAAGAGAGTGGTCCCATTTGAAATGTTCCTCTTAGGAACATACAACAAGAACACAAAAGACTGTTCTTATCCCAGTCAGAACTTTTGTTGTTTCTTAACAAATGATTCAAAGTCAGGTCAAGTACATTCTGCTTACAGTAGAAAAAAAAATGACATTACTACCATAAGTAAAGCCAAATCATTTCTAAAACTCGTGACACTACCAAAGAGACAAAGAACATTAAATTTTTTAAACAAAGCTTTCTATTTTTTAATATAAATCTCATGAAAGGAAGATGTAAAATTAGAATTAAATACCAGCATTCCTTTCTAGAAAAAGCCTAGATGGGTCTAACCTAGAAGCAATTCATGCTTGATCTAGTTGTACAAGATGTCCAAGGTTGAAGCAGCCCACATGCTTGCAGAGCTCTGCACTCATCTCCCTGTCCCTTTCTGTGAGGGAACTGGGCCAAGGAAAGAGCAGGCAAGGGACACAAAATGGATTAGTGGCGCAGATCTAGGTGTTGAGAATTTTGGTTGAAATTCGGAAATAATTTGCATACTGGAAGAAAAAATGTGGTTAAATTACAGTCTGATAAATAACCTTATTTCTAGGTTAGAGTTTCTTATTTTAACCTCTGAAATAATCTTATCAAATAAACTTGACTGTGTCTCAGAATTAATGGAAAGCTTGAACATAAGTTGCCAAGACTGGTCCCTGGTTACTGACTCGGGTGTGCAGTGCAGTCTATAAATTTACAGCCTTAGCAGATTACAGGCAAAAGCATGCTTGAAAACCACTGATATGCATGACTTAGTAATATTGCAGGCAGCTGTGGAAGCCTTGATGCACCAAGCATGCATCCCCACACTGGGTTGCAGAAGTACTGTGTGAGCTTGTCTCCTCCTACCTGTGTTTTATACCTGAACTGAGGCATGTAATTAAAGTTCTGATTTTTTTTCTTAATGCTCTGAACTTTTCTTTGCTTTTTTGTGTTTTCCCCATATTGATATTATTTTTCTATGCATTTATATAATAAATGTGTTAAAATACAATTTTTCTTATGAAGCCAGGATAACTTTTATAAATACTTTAGAGAATCTGGTCTCAGCAGTGTCTCATGGAAATTATTTAGCCTTGTCTCACTCTGTTAATCACTCTAGGTTTGTCTATGCTATAGAAACATTTAAAATACCAGGACTTAGTCTTGGCAAGACGTTTCCTTTCTTTGATCATGGTAGTGTCCAGAGAAGCAATGAGGAAGGAGGGGAGCTCTGTTGTTCAGCTCAAAGAGATGGGGTTGTCTGATGCAGTTTCTGTTCGTGCTTCGGAGTGGGAGGGGAAGCTGGTGGGCAGCATTGGCTCCAAAAGTCACCCAGTAGAAGCTGTGCTGCTGCCAGTCAGTCTACACAAGTCTGCGCAACTAGCTTCCGAATGAAGAGTGGAGCTTGCTTTTACCATTTCTCCAGGAGAGGAAGGGTTTTGGGTGTTTGACTGGTTGGTTTTGTTGGTTTGGTTTTTGGTTTCTGCAGTAGTGGGCATTCTGCTTCTAGTTTTTTATTTTTCTTAAAGGTGTTAACAGTTCTTTATCTTGAAGCCTTGCATGCTAAGCTCTTCGTAGTTGCTATCATTGCTTTCCCTTATCGCAGATCTGAATGGTCTCCCCTGGCAATGTATGTTATATTCTTTGCATTAGCATTCAGACCTTCTACATTGCCATTTGTGTCACAGATGTATAGGATTTTGCCTTGTAGTGCAGAGTCTCTTGCCCCAGCCTCCCAGGTACTGGTATCATAAGCCTATATAACCTAAGCCTATATAACCTATGCCTGGTTACATATGTACTTTCTCGACTCTTCTTGTGGACTTTTTGTTGTGATTTCCATAGCAGATTTTTTAATTTTCATACATAATTTGATTTTTTTTTTCAATCTTGGTTAACTTGAGGTAGTGTACATGGGCAAATATTTCTTACAATATTTTTAAATTGTAAGTAATGAAATAAGTTTATTTCTGTATATGGCAAAAGATATGGGTGTTTTCTTCATGAGGATTTCTCCAAGACTTTCATTTGTGCCAGCACCATTTATTAAAAATACTGTTTTACATTGAATTGTCACTATTTCTTATGCTAAATTACTGAGCTTTCTAAAATTTCTAGTTTTTAAATTTTTGTCTATGTATTTTATTAAGCCAGCTAACTAGAACAGTGAAAACTGAAAAGGACGTTTTAGATACAAGGATCCTATTTTAGACAAGGAATGAAAAATAAAAGTTGAAACCTAGTGTTAAAATAGGGCAATCAAGCCAGGCGTGGTGGCACACAACTGTAATCCTCATGAGGCCTATCCAAGACACAAAAAAAGCTTGAAAATGAGGCGCCAACTTCTAACACTGACCACAATTTGAAAAGCATCAGAATGGATTCAAGAAGAGTAAAGAATTTGGCTAGAATCTGCAAACTTAGAAGATGTTGACCAAAATAACAGCCTGGTACCAAGTAGAGGAATCCATTTGTTTGAACTTTGAGGCAACATCAAATTGTTCCAGACCATCAAATTTTCCAGTTCATTTGTGAAACCCATCTGCCTGTAATACAAAGTTTTAGTGAAGGTGTCAGAAGGTAGGAAGCAGGGTGAGATGTAGCTTAGTTGCAAAGCATATGAAAAGCTCTGGGTTTGCGCCTAGCACTAGAAGATGGAGAGGGAGAGAAGAGAAAATGAAAAAGCAGCAATGTACTAAATTGTAAAACCTTTTAATATTTAAAAAATAAGGTACAATAGTTTACGGTTGTTGCAAATATACTAAGGACAAAAACTTTCAGGGACCAAATGGAACATTTTCATTTGAACTTTTTTTTTAAGAACAATAGAATAAGAAAATCATATACAGTGCATGGATAAAATAACCTCAAAATTAATTCTGACACAAAAATATTGAAAAATTTTGGAAAATAAACCTTTTTCACATGGATGGTAAAGAACTGTAAGCGATGTTAGGATTAAAGCTAACATGTTGCCCGCAGTTGTCAAGATGGTTCAGTGGTGAAAGCACGTGCCACAAAAGCTTAGCAACCTGAGTTTGGTCTTCAGAACTGACTCCTGTGAGTTCTCTGATCTCCACATGTATCACCCTGCCCACATATGAGACTTTTTTAAAAAAGAAATGTTACCTGCATGAGAAAGTATAGGATGTTATTGACAATTATAAATCGTAACTATAAACCATAATCCACCAAAAATAGTTCTTAAACAGGAAGGAAATGCTGTAGAAATGTGAACATCCTCCTAGCAGTAAACTTTCTAACACAATTGCATTTAATGATAGTAATAAGAGTTGAAAGGTTTTATAGGAAGACAAATGCCAAAGAGGGTCCATAAAGGGAAGGAAGAAGTCAGGTTTGTGGCTACACACCTGTAATCAAGAATATAGGAGATAGAGGCAGAAGCGTTAGTTACAGGCCAATTTGGCCCACACAACAAGGACTCTCTAAAAAACTGAATTAACTGGGTGGACAAGATGGCTCAGTAAGTAGGGACACTTGCCACCAAGTCTGAGCTGAGTTTAACCCCTAGACCTCATGTGATTGGAAGGAGAAAACACTCCCTTGAACAAACATACGGGGATACACACAGTAAATAAATGTGAAAAATAATGATAAAAAGACTAAACAAAAACTCTAACTAAAAGATCTTCATGTGTGGTAAAGCCACTGTGAATGATTCATGGAATCCAGGGAGGAATATGATATGAAAAATGACGTGTTTAAAGGAATGATGATCTGGAATAGAGGAAAACAGACTACACATAAAATAGGTGTCAACTACATAGAGTAAAAAAAAAACATCCTATAGCCAAGAACTCCCTAGAGAATTGAGGGTGGCCTTCTGATCCCCTTGCCTCTCCCTGAGTGCTGGGTTTGCAGGCCTGTGCTACCATGCCTGTTAATGTAGTGCTGGGAATCCAGTGGGGCTTCCCCTGCTTTGCAAAGCACTCTACCAACTGAACTCTGTCCTAAACCCTGCTGTGAGTTTTAGAATAAATTTAAAAGTTGAAGTGCTAATTGGTAGCTTATCATAACAGTTTTTCAATTCTTATTCCTTGACTGTTGAGAAACTTGGCTACAGATGGATCCCTGGGACCTATCTGAAGATGGATAGAGGGAACTCATTCCATAGACTTGTCCTGTGACCCTCATATGTACACTATGGGATGCACACACACAACACAATAATAAATGAATAAGTAAATATTTAAAAATTCTCACTGTTTAGTTTCAGTGGCATAATAGAAGTTTTTGTTTCATTTGAGACAGGGCTTCTTTATGCTGTCCTGGCTGTCCTGGAAGCCACTAGGTACACCAAGCTGACCTCAGACTCACAGAGATCCACCTGCCTCTGCCTTGCTCCGAAGTTCTGGGATTAAAGACATGCACCACCATTTTCAGTTTAGGAAGATATTATTGAGCTCTGAACTATATGGATGGTTAATATTGAGGCAGAGCGCTTCCTTATTCTCTGGTTAATTCAAATATTGTTATTGGCATGATCAATTATTTATTCTTCATTGGGCTTGTGGGGTTTGGATCCAAGGCTTTGCTTCCCTCAGGCAATTGCTTTTAACACTGTTATCCTCCCAGCCCCATGTGAAAATCAAAGTATCTCACTCATTCTGGCTTCTACTCCAGTACTTAAGCTATCTTGCTGTCTCAGGCGCTTAAGCAGATGGGACATCTGCACCACAACACCTTTGCACAGTTAAACACATTTCTGTATGAACATGTTTTAAAACACACAAAAAAGCTTAAGTTTATTATACCCAGCAAGTACCTCATATTTTAATTAACTTGTTAATTTAGTTTATCTTCACATTATTAATAAGCATTCCATTCATTTATCTCAGGGATCCAAGCACAGTACATTTGGAAAGCACAAGGCCTTTTCCTACAGTGGTTTTTTAAGAATTATTTCTTGGGGGCTGGAGAGATGGCTCAGTGGTTATAGGGCACCGGCTGCTCTTCCAGACCCAGGTTCAATTCCAAGCACCCACATGTCAGCTCACAACTGTCAGTTCCAGGACATCCAACTCCCTCACACAGACAAAACACTGATACATGCAGACAAAGCACTGATGCACATAAAATAAAAATAAGTAATTTTAAGATAAATGTGTTTATTTTACATTATGCATGTGAGTATTTTTCCAGCATGTATGTGCACTGTGTGCAGCCTGCTGCCTGAGGAAGCCAGAAGAGGGCATCAGGTACCCTGGGACTGGACTTACAGGTGGCTGTAAGCCATCAACCATGTGGGTCCTGGGAATCTAACCCTTGTCCCCTGGAAGAGCAGCAAGTGCTCTTAAACACAGTACCAGCTTTCCAGCCCTTCAAAGCAGGCGTTTTAATTTTTTTTAAATACTATTTGTTAGTTTTATGAGACGGGATCTCACTATGTAGTCTGTCTGGTCTAGAACTTGATATGTAGACTAGGCTGGCCTGGAACTCAAAGATATCCACCTGCTTCAGTGTCCTGAGTGCTAGGGTCGCAGTCATGTGCTACCACACCCGTCTACACAACGCTTCTTTTTAAGCAGTATTTTAAAAAGTGTACTGTGTGTTTGTTGTGCATGTGTGGGCAGAGCATGTATGTGGAGGTCCCAAGACAACACTGTGGAGCCATTTCATGCACCTTTACGTGGGTTCCAAGGATGGATCTCAGGGCCTGTGGACTTGCTCAGCAAGTTCCTGCTGAACCACCTTAGTGGCTTTCACAACAGCTTTTCTACATTTTTCTTCTCAACAATCCAACAATCACATCAGTTATTTTAACATGACTCTTCCAAGAGAGAGAAAATTAGACATTCAGAAAAGTAACCCAAAACAACAAAACAAAACTGGAACACAGAGCACGCTCAGCAAGCAGGAACCTCTGGGTTTTGTCCCTAACTTTGGGGGGAAATAACAGCAA